GTTGTGTTTAAAGAACCTGTCCTTGGCCAGGAAAAACAGGCACTCGCTTGTTTAATTATTTTGCGATCTAGATTTCTTCTTCTTTTTTGAAGTGAGAAGTCGTCCGTCCCGGACTGACGGACCCCCCCCCCAAATGGAAAACTCTTCGGTTCTCCACGAATTACACAAGTCACCCAAATCAGCGTTAAAAAAGCGGGAGGCGCCGAAAAGCGACTATTTTGCATCACTGACACATGAATTGACTTTATTCAGTGTTTTTACCTTTAATCACCGGGTCCGTTTGCTTTGGAGATTTGATTGTGATTGGTGGTTTGCTGGCACTCACTCAAGTACCCCTGACATGAGAGCCGCAAAATTTTCCTTTTGTAGCAAGCAGCAAAATAATTGTAACATGACGTGTTTGAGTTCATTTGCCTACTTATCGCGATTATTGTCACGACACGATATATCGTGCAGCTCTACTAAAACCTATAGAACACATCACATGGAAGGGAAAATATAGCATAATGGGGCGTCTTTAAGCGATACAAAAGTAAAAGCTATACACTACAAGGCCAAAGCCACATGCTACAAGGAATATGCAATGGGCTGAACGCTTCGATGTTAAAGTTACAAGCTACACTCTTCAAGATAACATTTCAAACCTTTATTTATCCAGGTGTATCCCATTGAGATCATTGATCTCTTTTTCAAGGGAGACCTGAAACATTTTAAAAGGAAAAGCTACAAGGGATTTGATTGAGTTTCCATGCATTTGATTAAAGTGTGTCATTAGATAATAACACAGCGCTATGCAGCAGCCAAATGTAACCTACGATAAATGTATCTGAACTCTTTTTTTACTGGATGATATTTTTGATTTATTTCCCCCGACAGCCCGGCTCAACTCCAGCAGCATTAACTGGTCCCAGTACAGTGCTGGAGTCAGTGTATTAAAATAGATTTGCGGCCACACACACCCACACACACACTACAGACTAAGTGACACCTCACACTAATCACTGCATGATACGCAATCAGATAACATGGCGTCTGTGTCCGCAGCGAGAGTGATAGATGAAGAGAAAAGGACAGAAAATATAAAGTCTCTTAACCTTTGTCCGTGCCTAAAGACGAGGGAACAAAGACTTTGTAATTTAAGTACGTCATGGATCAAAATACTAATGCTGTGGTATGTTTTGTTGCACACCCTACAGGGAGCCATGATTCAAACTGTATAGGCGGTACAAGAAGTGTAATTTACAAATAAATAACAATCAAAAAGTGTGTTTCTTTTGTATTTGTTTTGTTGCTGGTGTAACTCACAATATCCTAGAGCCAAACAGAAAAGCCAAAGCTAATCTATTACTACTGATCCAGAAAATGAAGCTATTTGCTTATAGAACTTATGCACCGTTTATTTCTAATGCTTTTTTATGTTCTGCAATAAATAATAATCAACGTTTTACCAGATTCATCGTTAAGTCACATGTTCAAGGTCCAGCTATTGGACAAATTATATTGTAGACTAAATGATTTAGACTTTAACTTGGGCTTTACATTTCTGATGCTCTATAGTACAAAGAGTAGTTTGAAAATGATACGTACTATAATATATGTTATGGAAGCTGCCCATACTGTTTATACATGTTATGTAATGTAATGTAATACATGACCTGCAATGTGTTTATACTCTTACTAATGAATGTATTTGATCAATAGAGTATACCTCTGCATATCTACTGATAATTAAATCACATTATTATATTTTCCCTCCTAGTTGAAACTGTTTCAGCTTCTCTTAAATCAGTCAAGGTTTTCTGACACAATAAAGTTCAGACAATTGATCCATTAAATATGTTGTACCCCTTAATGTTTGTGTTAAACAGGAACAATGCAACTATGATCGCGAACAAAAACAAAATTGTGAAAAGAGGTGATAAAAACTCGAATCAGTTCTGATTTTTATTTGTGTTTCTCTTCAACAATACACCAGTTTCTTTCTTACTCTCTCTTGTTGTGGCCGAGCTGTGGCTGTCAGTAAGTCCGCCTGTTATTTCGGGAACAGAGATCCTGGGCTTGGCTGAGGAATGTACAGCTGTCTGGCATATGGATAATGTTAGATTTTCATTTCTAACAATGCCTCCCCCCCTCCGCCAATATGCTCTTTCCCTGAAAAAGGGAGGAGGTGGAGTCTGAAGGTATAAAGCTCAAACAATGTAATCTATTTAATTTTGAATAATCCTTTCTTGCACGATAATATCCTGCATTATATTTATTACTGGAAATTGGTATTTCCAGTTGTATATTTTCCACATGTATATATTTATTTTATATATTCTTTAACCTTTTAATGCTATTTTATTTCTTTTTCTGAAATATTTTGGACTGTTTATATCGTGTGTCTTAATTTCTCTTATGTACATTGCCTTTTGTTTTTCATCTTGCTGCAACGCAAACATTTCCCAAATTGGGATCAATAAAGTTCTTGTCTGTCTGTCCATCCGTCTGTCTGTCAACCTGTCCCTCTCTTTGTCTGTCTGTCTGTCTGTCTATCTATCTATCTATCTCTGTCTGTCTGTCAATCTGTCCCTCTCTTTGTCTGTCTGTCTGTCTGTCTGTCTGTCTGTCTGTCTGTCTATGCTTCTCAAAGTTATCATTAATATTATACCGCTGAATAGTACTAAAAACAAACAGGACGACCTTGAATGTAACCAACGATTATTTCCATTATTAATTGGTCTATAATATGTCAGAAAATAGTGAAAAATGTAAATCCAAGTTCCTCAAAATAAAGATGGTTTCTTCATGAACATTTTGATTTCTTAAAACCCGAAGGTATTCACTTTGATATGAAATAAAAGAGAATCAATCAAACGACAGAGTTTCATATCTTCGTTACAAAATGAAAAGCAGAAAATCAGCTGTAACGAGGAGATGTGACTTAAATGATGAATGTTGATTATTTATGTCTTCAAATCATTTAATCCATGAATTGTTCAATATCCTCTGATCAGGTCTAAATGCATTGAGAGATCTGTAAAGTACAACTGTGGTCAAACATGCTTTTGATAGAAAAATCTGTGTATTACCCACCCCCCCCCCAAAAAAAGCAAAAATGGCATTTGTTTCCTGTATACTGTAAGTGTTTATGATAAATAACAAAGAAATATATATATTTTAGAGATTTGACATTATTGTGATTTAATACTGATTTTCAAACGGACGATACAGTCATATATATGTATTTTCTGAAAGAGACAAATGCCATGCTGAAATGTGAATATTGTCTGCAAACAGCAACACGTTTTGTGTTAAAACAAAAGTCAGGTGTCCATATGAATATTTAAAAACTGGTTATTCTGGCTGGACGTTAAAGAAAATCTCCTATTAACATCACAGGTGACAAGAACGCATGTTTAAGTCAATATGAAGCAGATTTGAGATAAATCAAAAGTCATATTAGTGTGAATTTTTCTCTTTTTTATATCTAAGAAAGGGGGAATTTTGTGCTGAAAAGACTTAAAATAATACCGAAGCCTCGTGTTCTCTTAACATACATTTTGTTATATATTGTAGCCTAAAATAAAGAGTGTGATGCGAGAGTAAAGCCTGTTTCCACCCACCTTTACACCTGCAGGCAGCTAAAGCTAACTAGCTAATAACTTACTCTTCTATCCTGCACAAAGATAGTAGATACAGTGTTTGTTTTGGGACTGAGAGGCATCATAACACTGATAATTAGCTGTCAGTTTCAGTTTTAATCAAATATAGCGTCAAAAATAATGTTCTGTTTGTTTACATGCAAAGAAAGTATTTGAATACAAAAACAAGTTCACGACTGTGTAAATTATGAATTTCTCCTCTTTTGGATATAGTTTTGTAGGAATTAAGACAGAATAAGATGTCAAATGTACACGAGGTTCTTTAATTTCAGTTGGATCAGTTCAACAAGGTGTCCTCTGATCTAAACGTTTCAATACTTTAACAAACAGTAACGGTAGCTGTATTTATTTAGTTTTACACCCCTATAGCTTTTGGGTTGTTTCTATAATTTGCTTCAAATGTTCGAAAGGTAAATAGTTATAACTCTTTCAGAAACAGGTTTATTGCCAAGTAAGTTAACACATACGAGGATTGTTTTCTTGGTGTTTTTAATGCACACATACAAAATAAAACAGTGGATTTTATAACATTAAAATATTTACACAAATACGGATGAAATCTTTCTTGAAATAAGGCCATTTTAAAAAGCTGTAATGCGAATGGGAGATTGTAATCAGCCACTTAATTGAAAAACTAATTGTTAAAATAGAGAATAAAGTAATAAATGTCAGCCCTAATAATTACTTCACTGATCGTCCAGAGCAATTCAGATCTACCCCAAAACAAAAAGTGTTGCAATGTCCAAGAGTTAGACTTTGTTTACTACCAACTTCCTGTTTACACTTGAGATGTTTAGATAGTAGGGATAGGAACGATTAATCGAAATTATTCAGGTATGAGAATATGAGAAATGAATATCTTTATTGTAATTTTTTTTATAATTCAATGCATACAACAGTGCCATAGCTAAATGTGTGGGGTCTAAAGTTGTGTTTTGCTCCGCTCACCGGTCCCTCACAGTGGGCAGAGCTGCAGGTGCTGATCTCTCTCTCTCTCTCACGTCCGGTTATACTTCACTCGCGTTTATGTCCAAATCCATCAGATCTAGCTAGTTCTAGCTAATGATATGGCTGCTGCCCCTCCCTACACGCAGATCACGCAGACTCAAACCTCATCTTATGCCCAAATTCCAGCTGAGAGGGTCTTCTCTACAGCTGGCCTGATTGTGAATCGCCTC